GAACAAAGAAATGAACTCATCCAGTGACTGACCCTTCAGTGACTGACCCTCTAGTGACCAACAGTCATTGTTACAGGTCCTTTCCTTGAAGAGTGTCTCCCATATCTCATCCATTAATATATCAGCAGTAACTGATGTACCTTCCAACTTATGTACATCTACTGCTGGTAGAAGGAGGAGGAGTTTGATACGAATAGAGCGAGGTAGTAATGCTAGTCCAGGAATAGGTTTATCATCATCATCAAACAAGTTACCTATTAAACATAGGAGACACTGGATCAGAAGAGGAACTGGGAGAGAATCCATCAATAGTGTGTTACTATAGACTAGTGGTTGAATGAGACTTTACAGCTTCTAATCACTTGGTAGATTTGCTGGAACTTATTTGGGAAGAAGATAAATCTAGTGAATGCAGTTGGTAGATTAAAACTTGCTGGTAGCCTGGTACTTAGACCCAATGAATAATGACTCTGGATGGCCAGGCTTTGATGTTTATTGCACAATAAGTGCTAGACCAATGACTGGGGCAGGCATGCTGCTTCAAGTGAACTTGTAATAGCATGCCTGCCACTGTCATTGGTTTAGCACTTATTGTGCAATAGGCATCTACAATCACATTATCACACAGCACAGCTACAGATTGAATTATTGCTCAATTTGCCTAATGTCGTGTTGTTTAAATGTGCTCACTAATTGAATGCAATCCCAAGATAAAGAAATTAGCATTATTCTGCAGTCAGCAAAAAGTGTTATCATTGGTAATAATTATTATGATTGGCAAGTTCTTATGTTATCAGGGTTTTCAAGTGGATTTTAGCATGGTGCTCAAGTAGCTTCTTGTTAGTGAGTTGCTGTACAGGGTATTTCAACAAAAATTGCAAGGAGGGAATTTTCCATTTTTATACTTCTTTCTGATAAATGTACATGTCCTTATGTTGTGTATCAACTTTGAGCTAATTCTGATTAAATTTGGATTTTTTATGAATTTTTAAAGTTGCTAAAAAAATTTGTCAGAAATGGCTAAGATAATGCATGTATATCAAATTTGAGCTCATTTCAATCAAATTTAGATTTTTAAAGTTGCTCTATATGCTATTAGGCTAATTGTCAGCTCATAAAGCATGCTTTTAGCTCACTTAGCATGCTTTGTAGGAAACCCAGATTATCTGGTAGGGCAATTTGTGGTAAATAATTAAGAGGATGCCACTTTGATGATTTTGTGGGTTTTAAACTGTTACTTTTCTGGTATGCCCCAAAACTATGAAAATAATGTGCTTTGAGACTTAAATTTTTGAATGTTTAAAATTTATATTTTCAAAGACAAGTGCTCAAATTTTGTGGTGACTTACTTTAGTTTTTTGTAACTTCAGTAATGTAATTTTTGAAATTTAATGTAACCAAAAGTCATACAGTACACATTGTAACTATTTCTTGTCTTTAATGGTTTTTTTTTTATTTCTACACAGAAATATGTGCTGTATCACGTCATTCAAAGAAAGAAATAGGAAGATGCTTCAAACTTATTCGTCAAGCAGCAAACCCAGCAATGAATACTGTATCAACTACTGACTTTATGGTTAGTGAATAGAAATAATTTTAATTCATTTTATTATCATTATTATTACAGTCAAGGTATTGCACTAATCTTGGTCTGCCATTACCAGTTCAGAAAGCAGCTAGCTTCATTGCACAGAAAGCCGTTGAGCTTGACCTTGCTCCAGGGTATGTTTAAGGTTTAAGTCATAGCAGAAATGTCATGATTATTATCTTTACTGATTACTTCACCAGCATTGATTACATTACTTCTGTGTTAATGTAGAGTGTTAATACATTACTTCATGTAATTATTTAATTTTAGACGAGTTTATCTATCTGTTGCTGCTGCCTCTATATACATGGCATCTCAAGCATCTGACATCAAGAAGACACAGAAAGGTTAGTTATTGTCTACGTTTATTTTATATCTTATAATGCATTCACCTTCTGAGTTAAGTTGACATATTCTGTGTAGCACGTAATTGGCAAATGCATGAAAATGAATCTATGAAATTCATGCATAACTCCAGCACAATCAACTGGAAAAAATTGGCAAATAAAGTTATTTTCTTAAATTTGTGAATGGCCATAGCCAAATTAGATTCTATTTTAATATTTGTAGAGGTTGGTGATGTTGTTGGTGTTGCTGATAGTACAATA